TTAGTTACTTCTCTCCCCCATTGTCTCCCTTTCTGATTGTAAGTCACCTTCCGGCAAGAGCGTTATCATGCTCATGGCTGTGACTTTAGTGCCTGGCACAGTCGCTGGCACATCGGAGAAGCTCAGGAAATACTTGCTGAATATGTGACTGAGGGGGAGTCTGGCCCCTGTCTTCCTGAAAGTTTTCCCCATGGGGTTCCAATACCCTCCACCTGCCCTCCGGACCCACCCTGCCCTTCTCACCCACTCTGCTTGTGCCCCATAGGCGACTGCCTGGGCCGTTTGGTGAGTCCCTGCCCTCCTCTGCCACAAAGGTTTGGCCAGAAGGGAGCTCAGAGGGGAGCTTGAGCCTGGGGGACCTGTCAGAGAGGCTTTTCGAACCCCAGCCACTCTGGCTGCTCAGTGCCCACCGTGGTGTCTGCTGATAGGTGCTCAGCCTCCAGGAGGAGGATCAGGCTGGCTCTCCGTGGCTGACCACGGAAGTTCCAGGTCTTACTGGATTTGTCAAAGATTTTGAGCCCAGTGCCTGAGCCCTGCACCGGGCACCAGGGAGGATACAAAAAGCAGTTAAGGTATGGGCTTCTCTGCAAGGGGAGGGGGCAGCATACACAGGCAGCTTTCAGGAATAGCAGACTGTGCTGCGTGCTCCAGAACGGGCACCGCGAGGGGCTCATCGTGAGAACAGTGAGCCAGCCATCAGGCGCTTGCACAGCATTTGGGAGTGAGGGGTTGTGGGCAGAGCTTGGACAGCAGTTACGGGATGAAGGGATGGCGAAACCAGGCAGTGAGAGAAGAGTCCGGGGGCATCGGGAGAAGTGAGCGCAAGACCACCGGGCCAGTGGCTGTGCCGTGCCCGGACACCAGGGGCCGGGCTGGGATTGACTCCGCAGCAGGGGGAGCACTGGAGGTTTGAGCTATTGGTTTTGACTTCGTGCCCTGGGCCGCCTCTGAGAGTCTCGGCATGTAGTGCGACATACCAGTGTACAACCGTGGGTGAGACTCCCACCCTAGGAGGGCAGTGGCGGGCACAGAGGCACCAGCGGGAGGGCCTGCAGCCGCTTGAGGTGCTCACCTGCACCTGGTCTGTCATTTCTCAGTGTTGCCGGGTACAGTCTGGGAGCCACCCAGCCTGCCAGCTGGCCCCCCATCCCCTACCCCGGTAGCAATCTGACTGGCCTTCGAGAGCCTGGAGGCCACCTGCCAGGAGATGACTGCTCATCCTGGAACATGGCGGGAGGGCAGAGGTGTTCATGATGCGGGAAGGACCTCTGTTCTCTCTGCACAGGCCCCTGGCCACTCCTGAAGTGGGCATGAGGGCCACTATCTGTCTGGCACTTGACTTGTCTGTTGGTCTTTCCGTTGCTCAGGCCTGTAGCCAGCCTTGGGAAGGAGATTGTTTTAAAAATGCCATGGCACCTGCATGCGGCTGGGGTGGAGCCTGTCACTGGCCCCGACCGCGCCCTCTGCTGGACCGGCTGGCATTGCAGAGCTGCTGAGGCCTCTGCCATGGGACTGCCTGGGGCTGTCTATCCCACAGTGCTGGTTGGTTACAGCGGTTCTCAACCTGTAGGTCGCGGCCCCTTTGGGGGTCGAACGACCCTTTCACAGGGGTCGCCTAAAACCATCGGAAAACACATATATAATTACATATTGTTTTTGTGATTAATCACTATGCTTTCATTATGTTCAGTTTTTAACAATGACAATACATCCTGCAGATCAGATATTTATACATATTGTTTTTGTGATTAATCACTATGCTTTAATTATGTTCAATTTGTAACAATGAAAAGACATCCTGCATATCAGATATTTACATTATGATTCATAACAGTAGCAAAATTATAGTTATGAAGTAGCAACGCACATAATTTTATGGTTGGGGGTCACCACAACATGAGGAACTGTATGAAAGGGTCGCGGCATTAGGAAGGCTGAGAACCACTGCTCTAAAACAAGGGCGTGGAGGCCAGCTCTGCACTTGCCTATCAGTCGTGAGATTTGGGCAAGTTACTTAACATCATCTCTGGCTCGTCTGTGTGTCAAAGGCAGAGAGCCGGCGTTATCATGGTGCCTCCTCATGGTGGTGTGGCCCCAACTGAAATGTACACACGGATACTGTTAGGTGGGTGTGGGTGCCAATGTGGCGACAGAGGACAGCTACCAGGAGCTTTCCTGAGCTGCTTTTATGTCCTGGCCCCCTGACCCCGCCCTGCCCCACTCTCGGGGAGCCACCGCTTAGCAGCGTGAGAAGCACATCAGCGCACAGCTTCAGCTCCGGCGCAGTCAGGGCTGGGAATATTGCAGAGCCCGAAGCCAGCCTCGGGGCGGGGAAGACAGGAGCGGGGAAGCCAGGCGGAGGGAGGAAGCGGCCTACGCAGATGGGGCAGAGCCAGGCAGGTGCCAGGGCCAGTCGGGCCCAGCCTGGGTCCGAGAGGAGGCTGGAGCCCGCAGCAAAGGCTGGAAGGCAGGCAGAAGAGGAGGGGCTGCCCCCTGAGGGCACCAGGGGTTGGATTTGCTGCCTCCTCCCGGGCACAGGGAGCAGAGCCCCTCTCCCAGCCCCACTGCAGCCCGGCACTGGCCCTGGGGAGGCCCTCTCTGCTGGCTGCCCCCACCCTGGCAGGGGCACAGATGCAGTTTTCCATCTTATTATTCTGCTTCATGCATTTGAAAAATGGAAGTTCTCCCGCTCCCCTTCACCACGCATACATATTTCATACGGTCATTGGACAGTGGCACTAAAGGACTCACAAATCTTCCTGGTCAGCATGGGCGGCCTGGGCGGGCGGCAAGAGGCCCCCAGGGAAAGGGGTCACTGTGCGAGCCATTGTGCCCGGCCCACCTGGGGGTGGAGGGGGCAGGAGAATGGCAGCTCTATCTGTCCCCAGGGGCTCAACACTGAATCTCCCTCCGCCTCAGCTGCTCCAGGCGCCAGGGTGAAGGGTACTGTACAAGGGGACCTCGGGGGTCCTCCCCACCCTGACAGTCCAAGTGCAAGTCTGGAGGCACCCAGGGTCCCTGTGTGGCTTTCAGGTGCCCCAGGCCCCTCACTTCCTGCACGAGCCCAGCCCTCTCTACCTCCCCGATCCCCTTCCTGCTTCCGGGCCACCCTCCCTGCCTTTCCCCGGCCCCCATCTCTTCACCCTTCCTGCTCCATTCCTCTTGTTCCCTTTGAAACCTCTCTCCTCCTTGTCTTTGCCCCCATCTCTCCACCAACTCCCTTCCCCTCACCCCTCGCTTCTTACTCGTATTTAATCATCCATTTCCCAGCATCGCGAAGCGCTGCTATGTGCAGGCATCGTCCGAGCCGGAAGGTGAGCCTGGCAGCTGTGGCCCTGACCTCATGGCCACAGACACTCTCCTTTGACAAACGAGGATGCTGAGGCCCTGGGGTTGCTCTTTGGTCACACGGTGACCTGGGCTGTTGACACTGGCCTGGAACGGGGCTCTCTGCACATTGACCCCTCGGCGTGGGCTCGATGGCAGCTGTTCCCCAGGCCGAGCTGCAGTGATTCTGGTCTAATAATACCAAACAGGGTGAGGTTATATGTCAGTGGGATGGAAGGGAACATGGGCTCCTCCCCTCCCCTGCCCCTCCAGTCCCTGGAAGCGGGGGAGAGAGGCCGGCTGTTGGGAGGGGCTTTGGTCTCCTCTCTCCGGGAAGAACCAGTGCCTCTGCTTCTGAGGGCCAGCTCCCCTCTTGGGTTAGAAGCAGTAACACACTGAGACTCAGAGCATGGTAAGGCGGCCCTGGGTGCAAATCCTTGCTCTGCTCCCTTTTATAGCTGTGAAGCCTGCGGCGAGCTATTTGCCTTCTCTGTGCCGCGGTTTCCCTGTCTCTAATAGGATTATCATGAAGAGGTTTACTCTGGGCCCCACTGGGGCCTAGGCCTCAGTTTTGTGATCTGTGAGATGGGTGGAAATGTCTGTCTTCCTCATCACGCTGTGAGGGTAAACATGGATGGTCTTTGAAAATGTAAACGGTATGCTGGCACAGGCTGGCGGGGTCACCATTCTCGCTCTTGTCATCATCATGAGGCGCGCCTCTCTCCCTCCAGGCTCTTTCCACTGCTTGTGATAGAAAGCTGTTGGATTAGCCTGGGTAAAACAGGTCTTGTTGGACTCACAGACCAAACTGCGGTGGGAAGGGATGTAACCCCAGGACCCGAGAAGTACCAGGACCCAGCCCCTGTCTTCCAGCTCCCCCCTGGGGGCACCTTCATCCTCCCCAACCACCCAACCGCCCCCAGTTCACTCTGGTCCAGCTTCACTGCTATGGAGGAAAACTTCTACCCTGTCAACCATTTAAAGAATCCCAGGGAAGGATTCTGATTGGCCAACTGCAGTCGGGGGCCACTCCCAGCCCAGTCCTGTGGTCATGGGCAGAACAGGCAGCTCCCACTCAGACCACTTGTTCAGGCAGAGAGAGGTGCCAGAGAAGATGGGTCGGGAGAAAAGAGGGTGTTTGCAGTGGAAGAGGTTGCCAGTCAGATGACAGTCTGCCCTATGCATGCGATGGATTATTCCTGGGGTTCAAGGAGGGGCACCAGAAATGTCCCTGAGGTGCCTCTTTCACTGGGCAGCGCATCTGACTTGGCATCTTTAGAGACGGGAGAAAAACTGGAGAATCCAGCAAATGCTGACCCCCCCTCCCCCCCGTGCCCCCTTCATTTGTGATATTTCTCAAACTGACAGGTCATGACACCAAGCCCCTGAGATCTGCAAAGAATAAGCCTGCCCGGCCTGACATGAGGCAGGAGGGGTGGTTTCCCGAAGTTAGGGATTTCGGTAAAAGATGGAGCTTCCAGAACCCTGCTCTCCCGTATACATTTAAATAGCTGTTTGTGACTGGGGCAACCATGTTGACCTTCGTGGCTCTAGAAAGCTTGGCGTGGGCCAGAGGAGTCGTGCGGGAGGACCGAGGCTGGCTGTGGACAGCTCCTGGTGGGGCCAGGGCCTCAGCCGGGCCTGGCAGTGACGACTTGTTCTCACCTTTGCAGGCAACGGACAATGACGTGGGCACCTTCGGGGAAGTCAGCTACTTCTTCAGCGACGACCCAGACCGGTGAGACCCTGCCCCGCTCCTTCCCGGTGGCCTCTGCCGCTCCTGTGATGGAAACTTCTCAGTGCCCGGGAGGGGCTGCGACCCAGGGCTGGAGCCCTGGGCTGGGAGCGGGAACCCAAGGGCACTGCTGCTAGTTGGACCCTGATGCGGTACAGTCTTGCCCAAGTCCCCTGAGGTCTCCGGGGCAGTTTCTCTGACCCTCAAAAGACAGCGTTTCCAGGCAGCTTCGAAGCTCATGAGAGCACAGGGGCCGCGCCGGCCACGCTTTCGAAGCCCTCGCCGTGTGTCAGGGATTTGGCCAAGTGCTTCGCGTGCGTTTTCAGATGTAACTCTCCAAACGAAATGCTGGAGCTCAGTGCTCGGCACTCCTGTCATCCTACTTCAGGGATGAGAAACCGCAGCCCAGAGAGGCTAAGTCACTGGCTCGGAGTCTGCAGCTCGGCCAGCACACGGCACGCAGGGCCAGGCCTCGCGTGTGGTCTCACCACAGAGGCACAGCCTCCGGGGGCGGGGGGAAGGGGACATGCTGCAGCCATTAGGCAGGTGCCCGCCTCACCGCCCGACCCACGCCAGCCTCGCCCTGCCACCCGCCATGCTTCTGGGCATCTCTCTCTCTTATCTGTGGTGAAGCTGAGCCGGGAGCAGCTCTCGTTTTGAACGTGATCGAGAGCCAAGTTGAATTCAGAGGGCAGGTCTGCTTCCGAAGCCGAAGTGTCTGATGCATCGGGAAGCCCAACAGGATGAGGGCAGCTCTGGCTGTCAGCCTGGATTACGGGCCCGGCTGTAAATGACCAGGAAGAGACGGATTGTTGGGTGCATTCCGGCCGTTCTCTGCCGCGGAGATGGGGCCTCAAAACGGGAGGAAGGAATGAGCAGCAGGACCGATGCACAGGGCACCCAGTCCCTCAGGGATCTGTGTTCAGGGGGCCTTGTCCTGGTCATCTTGGGTGTCCTCATCGCCTCCCATCTTCTGGGCCAGGGCTTTCCTGGTCTCTGAGCCAGGATCTTCCAGGCCTGGTGGCTGGCAGCCGTGGAACAGGTCAGGGCACACAAATGTCAGCTGACGACTCACGGGGGCACCTGAGGGGGTGTCGAGAGGAGCCAGGTAGACCTTGCTCCTCCCCAGGAGACGTGCGTGAGGCTCAGTCCCTCGAGCAGAAGACGGGGGGTAACTCCTGAGAGAGGACCAAACTCGCTATCCTGGCTGGGTGTTCAAAACATTTTGGTTCAGCACCCTCTGGATGGCAAAATTTGTTTTATTGCCCAGATGTGTGTGTGTTTTTATTGCAATATAATTTGACATAAATACGGTATTTGTTTCAGGTGCCCAGCATAATGATTTATACTTGTGTGTGTTGTGAAATAATCACCACAATAAGTCTAGTTCACATTTGCCAACATGTATAGTTATCCATTTTTTTCTTGAGATGAGAACTTTTAAGATCTCTCTTAGCAACATTGGAATATGCAATACAACGTTATTAGCTATAGTCTTTGCATATACATTGCTGTACATTGCATCCCCATGTGTATTTATTTTGACAGTGGTTCGGTTTTATCCTTCTGCATGTAGCTGTCCAGTTTCCCCAACACCCTTTATTGAAGAGACTACCCTTTCTTCATTGTACATTCTTGGCTTCTTTGTCATAAATTAATTGACCACATATGTGTGGGTTTATTTCTAGACTCTATTCTGTTCCATTGATCTACGTGTCTGTTTTTATGCCAATATCATACTGTACTGATTACTATGGCTTTGTAATATAGTTTGAACTCAGGGAGCATGATGCCTCCAGCTTCGTTGTTCTTTCTCAAGATTGCTTTGGATATTCTGGGTCTTTTGTGGTTCCACATAAATTTTAGGATTATTTGTTGTGGATAAAGAATTCTTGGTTGGTGGTTTTGTCTTTCCACACTAAATATTTCTCCTCCAAAAGTTTTTTGGTGGAATCTTTAGTGCTTTCTATATGTGGTACCACATCTTCTGCAAATAGTGACAGTTTTACTTTTTCCTTTCTGATTTGGATAACTTTTTCTTTCTTGCCTAATTGCTGTGGCTAGGACTTTCAAAACTAAGTTGAATAAAAGTGATGAGAGTAGGTATCTTTGTCTTGTTCCTTATCTTAGAGGAAAAGCTTTCAGCTTTTTTCCATTAAGTATGATGTTAGCTGTGGGCTTGTCATCTATGGCTTGTATTATATTGAGATACATTCCCTCTGTACCCAGTTTGTTGAAAGTTTTTTTTATAATAAAAGGATCTTGAATTTTGTCAAATGCTTTTTCTGCATCAATTGAGACGATGATATGATTTTTATCCTTTAATGTTGTATCCTGTTAATGAATATCACACCCATGATCTGTGGTATCACATTCTCATATCTCTGAAGGAAATCCTACATGATCATGGTGTGTGATCCCTTTAACTGAATTGGGTTGGCTAATATTTCGTTGAGGATTTTTGCATCTATGTTCATCAGGAATATTGGCCTGTAACATTTTTCTGTTGGTGTCCTTGCCTGGTTTTGGTATCAGGTTAATGCTGGCCTCATAAAATGAGTTTGTAAGTGTTCCCTCCTCTTCTGTTTTTGGAAGAGTTTGAGAAGGATTGGTGTTAATTCATCCTGAGTGTTTGGTAGAATGTATCAGTGAAGCTGTCTGGTCCTTGACTTTGGTTTGTTGAGAGATTTGTATTACTGATTCGATTTCATTAGTAGTTATTTTTTCAGGTTTTGTTTCCTTTTTTGTTTGTTTCTTTTTTTATAGATTTTCTGTTTCTTGATTCAGTCTTGGTAAATTGTATCTAGGAATTTATCCATTTCTTCTAGGTTGTCCAATTTATTGGCACATAATTATTCATACTGGTCTCTTATGACCTTTTGTATTTGTGTGGTGTCAGTTACAAGAATCTCTGCCCCTTACAGTTCTCCACATCTGACTGTCCAGAGGCAGAAAGTCCTGTTTGCAGCAAAGGAGGGTCATTCTTCCCGAGTTTCTTCTTTGAGTAAATCCACCTACTCCTGCCCTTTCAGTACCTGACACGTCACCTCCCATGTGGTCCTGATTCCTGCCCACTACCTCCCACCCGACTCCCCATTACAAATAGATGCTCTTCTTATTGAGGGCACGTTAAAAAGGCAGATTTCAGACTTCAATTATCTGTGTCTGTTTATCGCCTCGGGCGAGGACAGGCTGGTAAGTGCAGGCCCTATCTACAAGCTGCTTTACACCAAGCTGTTCTCTCATCCTCCTTCCTGCCTGGCCTAGGTTCTCTCTGGACAAGGACACGGGACTTATCATGCTGATCGCCAAACTGGACTATGAGCTCATCCAGCGCTTCACCTTGACCGTCATCGCCCGGGATGGGGGCGGGGAGGAGACCACAGGCCGGGTCCGGATCAACGTGTTGGACGTCAACGACAATGTGCCCACCTTCCAGAAGGATGCCTACGTGGGCGCCCTGCGAGAGAATGAGCCTTCCGTCACACAGCTGGTGCGGCTCCGGGTAAGGCGCCAGGCTTTCCTGCAGCCCGGCCATTCATCTTATCCTCGGCCTGTACCCTCTTCCTGGCGATTCCCCTGGGAAGCCACTGCGAGAGCTGCTAACTCCATCACAAAGAAGTCCACCGGATTTGGGGGTCACGTTCTTGGTCTGTGTGAGGACCAAGTGCAGCTAGTGCCTGCCTCAGCTTAGATTTCAGGTCACCGTTCAGCAATGGCTGCCCCCTTCATCTCCCTTGGCAGGTGCGAGCAGTTTCTTGTGTGAGGACCCCCTTTAGAGGCTGCTGAGAATCAGGAAGTGCTGTAGCTGGCAGGGACCAGAGGCCCCAGGCACAGCCACCTCACAGGAAGGGAGCAGGTGGGAAGAGGGAACCCCAGACGGCACAGTGAATTAGCTGAGTAGTCGAGGCCGGGCTAGAACTCGGGACTCTACATTCCAGATGTCCTCCTGCAGCGCGTCCCCAGCAGGCTCCAGCGACCTCTGTCCATGAAGCTGCTCGGTGTCCTCACGCCCCTTCCTCCCTCTGCCCACCCAGAGTGACAGAACCAGGGCCTCCATTTAGAACTCGTTTCTGAAACGAGGGGGAGGAGGTGGGCAAGGAGCACACAGAAGGCAGGACCATGTGCCCACCCAGCATGGGCCATGCTCCCTGTGGGGCCCTGCTCTCTCTCCGCCCCCCGCCCCCCCACTCCGCTCCTGTTGTGCCCAGGGTGGTGGGCCACCCTTAGGCTCTCTTCAGTCAGACATCGGGAAAGCAGCTGCTCATCAGCCACCCAGGAGACAGTCCAGGGGGGGAAGGATCTGACCCCCTCCCGAGTGCCTTCTTCCCTCCTTGCATTCATGCACCATTCATTTATTAGATACCTACTGTGTGCAAACACCATGCTGGACTCTAGGTATGCAGCTGCAATCAAGAAACACAGGTTCCTGCTCGCCAGGAGCTAACAGTCTGAACAGACAGGCAGAAATTATACAAGAAGTCGGGGGAACCGATGGGGTGCACAGCACAGGGCCCTAACCCAGTCTCGAGGTCAGGGAGGGCCTCCGTGGGTGGGATGTGCAAGCTGGGACGGAATGGGCTGGAGGTGGTCCTGCCAGGTGTGGTGGAGACCCTCTCTGTCCCCTGGGTGAGGCCTGGCCTTGCCCACTTCTCCCGAGGCCTCCAGCCTGCCCTCCAGATTCCCCAGGGTAGCTCCTCACTCAACATGAGACGTGTCTGCTGGGCGCCAGACAGCAGCCTCCAGCTGCAAGGCCAGGAGGGTCTGATCACCCAGGAAGAGGGCGCTGAGAGGAACCAGCCCTCCTCCCACCCACCCTCCTCTGGCTCACAGGGCTCTGTCCATCCTCTTCCTTCCAGGCAACAGACGAAGACTCCCCTCCCAACAACCAGATTACCTACAGCATCGTCAACGCCTCCGCCTTCGGCAGCTACTTCGACATCAGCGTGTATGAAGGCTATGCAGGTACAGGGAACAGGACTGGGGGTACGGCCAGGAGGAGGGCTGGCAGGTGGGAGCTGGGTTGTGCACTCACACCTGTCTCAGAAGGGGGCTCTCTGACTCTCAGACACGCGGGAGCATTCGGGGAGCTTCCCCGTAGCTCCTGTTGGCTGGAGCAGCACGTGGCATGCGGCCACCCCTCCATGGGTCAAGATCTCTGTCTCAGACGGGCCAGGTTTTTCTCGGGGTCGTAGGCCCAGGGCCAGCCAGGCGGCCGATATTCCCACAATCAGAGGAGTCCCTATATCTCTGCAAGGCTGTCTGGGTAGACCTGTGGGGTGGAGACTCGTTAGTCAAGCTTCCCCATCCTGTGGGCTTTCTGCGACTGCCCCCACCCCTCTGAGGACCCTGCCTGGCCCAGGCACAGTTCCACACTTTGGACCCTGCCCTGCCTGCCCTCTGTGAGTCCTGATCCCTAGAGGCTGTGAAAGGAGTAGCAGCAGCAACTTCAAGCTCCACCATCCCATGGGGCCACCTCTTCTTTTTCAGATGAAGCAACTGGGACACAGAGACAGGGACCCACTTGCCCGAGGCCACACAGCAAAGCTGTCCGGGAGACGCTGTGGTCTAGCTCTTGGTTGCCTCTCCAGCCTTGTCTTCGGGCACTTCCCCTCCCACCACCAGAACCCGGCAGCTCGGAACCCTCTCTCTGAGCTCTCCTCTGACAGTGGCCACTGCCTTGTCTTTGCGTGTCTCTCCCATTGCCTGGCCTCCCTTCCCCCGCTGGCTGCTCTAAGGGCTCCTGTGGACATCCCCTCTCTGAAAAGCGTCCCTAATGCCTGAAGCTGTGCTCACTGCCCACAAGGCAGAAGGGACGCACATTGGATGACTCTGGGTCCAGTGCTCACTCCCAGCACCCCACCGCAGGGCCAGAGAAACGCAGGCGCAGAGATCACAGCCCTGGCTGCAGAGGCTGTCGCCTGACGCTCTCTGTCAAGTCGGTGCCCCTTTAAGAAATGTGACAGTGCCGTGCCTCTCCCCACCCTCTCACCTCCCCTTCCCCTCCGCTGCAAGGACCTCCCTTCGGTTTTATATGACTAGAGCAATAATTTGATTTCTGTTTTCCAAATAGAAAGTGGCAATTTAATATTGTTGCAGTGCCTTTGCAGATTGCCCAGGCCCCCACTCCCGAGCGAATTTGCCTTCCCATCCAAAACCGAGCATCCGTGGGTTCACACCAAAGGGGACTGTGGTGAGAGTTCAGGCCGTGCAGGGTGGGGATGTGTGAGGTCTTAGCGCCCCCTCCCCCAGATCCTGCCTCTCCACCTCTGTCCACCTCTGGCATTAGGGGTCTTCACCCACCTTCTAGCAGAGTCTGCGGAGGGTAAATTCTGCAATGCCATCCACTGAGTGTCCCTCAAGGGGTCTACATAGTGCCCAGAGCGGCTATTGGAGAGGCATGAAGAGCCTGTATGGTAAAGAGAGGAGGGAGGGAGAGAAGAGAAATAAAGGCAATGAGAGCAAAAGACAGGGAGCTGCCACCTGTACCCCACTACCTACTCCACCCCCGACACTGGGCAGTAAAGCCCGTTATCTGGACGGTATCAGGAGCAGTAACAAGGACAGGACTAAAGAGCTTGGGCATGACCCTGACCTCCAGACAAGTGCCAGATGAGTGGGTGAGACAGACAGAAAGACAAGTAGGAATGACACTTTCTGGGAAAGAGCCTGGACTCTGGATTCAGACAAACCTGGGCTCGAATTGTGGCTCTATTGAGTTCCTAGCTGTGTGTCTCTGGGCAAGTTACTAAACCTCTCTGAGCTTGGATCCTTCATCTGTAAAGCGGGGCGTACATTCCCACCAGAGTAGCCGCACCTGGTGGCCTCGCACGGGGCCTGGCACATATCAGGCAGTCAGTAAACCTAAGTCAACACCACGAGGTTCCAGGAGTTCATGCCAGCTGTCCTCTCCTGCCCCGAGGGAAGCCCTGGCTGGATGGGTACTGAAGGCTGCTTACAGGGGCCCTGGGGCCCTGTTCCTGTCATTTCAGTGATCAGTGTGAGCCGCCCCCTGGATTACGAGCAGATACCCAACGGACTGATTTATCTGACGGTCATGGCCAAGGACGCTGGCAACCCCCCTCTGAACAGCACTGTCCCTGTCACCATCGAGGTGTTTGTAAGTACCCAGGGGCGCTGGCCTTGCCCTCCAGGGTAAGGGGTGGTGAGGGCTTCCCAGGGTGCCAGGGGCCCCTCCTGAGCCCTGTGTCCCCAAGTCCTTGACTGTCCCCACAGCTCAGGGGCTTACCTGGCAGACCATCCCAAAGGCTGTCCTAGCAAACCTGCCAGCCTGGCCAGGGAGGTCCGGGGCCTCAGGACACCCTGTCAGGGGAACAGGAGCTGGAGGAAGTGCCGTGGGATCCCCCACCTAGAGCTACATTCTGTGAAGTTCAAGGGAATTCCTGAAGGCCATCTCCTCTCCTGTCTCTCTCTCCCTCTCTTTCTTTTCACTTCCTTTTTCCGCCCCTCTGAAGATCTAAAGGGGCCTGAAAGCGAACCACAGCTTGTCTGACATGGATATCACGCACACCTTAGTGGGCTTAGTGTCTGAAGTGATCAGTCTCTGAATCCGTCTCCACGCTGGCTCACTGGCCCTGTGCAGCCCCCCAGCCTCCAGGGGATGAGATGGTGGTGACGATAGGCCTTCCCCCCACCCACCCCCCGAGACCCTTCAGCACTGCACACGCACAAGCCTGCCCCCATCTCATAGAGGCGGCTGCCTGCAGGGGAGGGCGAACATGTTGATGGAAGAGTTAGCATGTTACCGATTCCAGGAGAATGAGATCAGATTGTCAGGTTACGAGATACGCTGTGATTTGACATATGCTCAGGAAGATACCTCACCCAGAGCTGGCTTGCTGGATGACCTCCCTGTCCCAACTGGCTTTGCCAGCAGCCCCTGGTTCTGCCCTGCCCCTAGCTTCGTCCTCACAACTGAGGCTGAGGCTCCAGGGCCAGACACCGAGTGCAAAGGTCCTCATCTGGGCAGGGGACCCCACTTGCTTACGAAATGGGATGGGGCTGGCCGTGATAGAAAAGCCAAGAGTGGGTGCATGGAGCAGGGTTGAGGGGCGGCATGGGGGCGTGCAACAGAGGGAAGGGCAGAGAGTCAGGGGCCTTATCTCGGGCATGTCGGGCTGCAGAAGTGGCAGGGAGGACAGGAAGAGATCCCAGGAGCCTAAACACCTGCCCGTTGAACCTGCAACCTTCCACCTGAAATGCTAAGGCTTATACCAGCCAACTAGAATGATGCCCTGCCCATCAGAACCACGTCCTGGTACTCTTTTTAAAATTGTGTTTTTCAATTACAGTTGGCATACAATATTATATACGTTTTAGGTATGCAACATGGTGACCAGAAGTGCACAACTGCTAATACACAACTTGCAAAGTGGTTACCCCAAGTCGAGTACCCACCTGACACCGGCCATCGTTGTTACAGTGTTATTGGCTCTATTCCCTCAGAGCTGTCCTGAGGGTCAGAAGGGGCTCCACACTCTCCTTCCAGGGCTTCCCTAGCCCCCCATCCCCCACCCCCACCCCTGGCAGGAGGAGGGTCTGGCAACAGAGGCAGGGGCCACCCTGGCTGTGGGTGAACATCGTCTCTCAAGCAGGACTTTGGGATGTGTAGTCACTGAGTCTAAGGACCATACTTGAAAAGGTCACCGCCTTTGGGTTAATTTTGCACGTGGGTGGTTTTTAAGTAGCTGTCACTCGTCTGAGCTGCCGTCTCCCTCCACCAGGCCGTGGACCGCAGCACCGACTGCACAGGGTGGGGGTGGGGAAAGGCAGATCCTAGTGACAGGGTTCTGGAAGGAGGAGGGGCGGGTGAGAGGGGCCAGGTGACTCCTTTCATCCACTGCTTGTTGGTTTTTAATAAAGAAGTCAAACTCGGTTTGTAGATTTCCCATTAGGGGACAATAAGCTTTTGTAGAGGGAGCCGCTGAATTAGAACTAATAGCGAATGCAGCACCAGGATCCAGGGAAATATCACCGCTAATAAGTTTCTGCCTCATGCTCTGTCACTGACATTCTCAGAGCTGTTTCGTGCAGCCAAGCAGAAGGCTTAAATAGACACACATATGGGGCACCGGTGCCGCGCCAGGGGACACCGGGCATGCTGTTGAGGCTTTGGATGTGTGGCAAGGCCTCCCACAGCCAGTCCACTGAGAGTGGGGAGGTAGGGGCAGATCAGCATCAGCCAGGGTGCAGCCAGAGCCAGGGCCGCACCAGGAGAGAAGCGTGTCCCTCTCCGGGCACCCACAGTCCCGGTAGGATGGGGTTCTCTGAAGTCCCGAGGGGCGGACGGCCCCATATCATGCCTCCCTCACGTTCACATTTGATCAGCCAAAGTGATTCTGGCAAAGGGGGTTTACTGAGGAGTCTCCCTCATCGGAGCTCCCAGTTCTGGGTACGTGAGGCCCTTGGGGCCGGCATTGTGCGGGGCTCGTGGGGAAAGCAGGGAAGGCCCCGAGTCGGGGGGTGGGGGGCAAAAGGCTTCCTCCAAGATGGGAACAGGGGCCAGTTCTTGTTGAGTGACGGCGAAAGGCAGGGGGTGAGGGAGAGAGTCTTAAAGGGTAGGCATGTCTCCCTGATGGTGGAGGGAGATGGCGTGTGGAGGAGCGGGAGACAGGCTGCACCGGGCCCACCACTGCCCCTCTCCCCTGTCACTGGTGGAGGCTGGGCCAGAGGAGGGGTTGCTTCAGATCTGAAGAGGGGGGTCTGAGCCAGGATGCGCCAGGGGTGGAGGAGCCGTGCTGCTGTGAATGTGCAGTGGGGTCTGGAATTCAGGCCGGGAACCCACCTGACCCCCTGCCTGCACACCTCAGTGCCTTCCTGGTTGGGCTGCTCCTTTCTCCCTTCATTTCTGGGAGGGTTTCTAGAACCTTCCACCATCACCTTGGCAGAGCTGTGGAAGAAAGTCTGAGTAGGCATCCCCTTCGTGGGGCCGATGAGCTAAAAGTGGGAGAACTGGAGTAAGCTTGGAGCTCGGCTTACTCAGGAAGACCGACGGGAGAGCCGGGGGGCCGGGAGTGGTAGGGAGTCCCGACTGCTGCCTTCTTTCTCCATCTCCCTGGTCCTCACCCTCCCTTCCTGACCCCCACATGTTTCCCCAAGGCCTGTCCCACCTCCTTGAACCATAGCTTAGCCAGAGGGGCACCTGGCCCCCCGTGACACCTGCCTGGCTCTGGTTATACGTCGGGGCCAGAGTACCTCCGTGCCAGCCATGCCCAGCCTCCGTTTGATGCCAGCACAGGACAGCTGACCAGCCCCCACTGCCGCCCTGGCTCCTGCAACCTGTCTGTCTGCTTTGCAGGATGAAAATGACAACCCTCCCACCTTCAGCAAGCCTGCGTACTTCGTCTCTGTGGTGGAGAGCATCATGGCAGGTACAGGCCCAGGCGGGAGGGCGTGAAGGCAGGGGTCAGCAGGCGCGGCACTGCGGTGGGCTGTCCACCATGGCCCTCCCTGTCTGTTTCTCATGACCAGTGAGGGGAGCCTTTGGAGATGCTCAGTTATCTGCCAGCCAACGGTTGCTTGCAGAGCACCTACTATGTGCAGCTGCTCCACTAGGCACTTGATTTCTGCTCCCCCGCAGCTACAGTCTAGCAGGGAAGACAGTAATGATTGGTGACTAACCCAGCAACCGTGGTTAACAAGGGGGTGCAGAGAGTTCTGAGATTACGATGCTGTGAGCTAGGGGCCAGGATGGCCAAAAGGTGGCACGTGCTCCAATGTGAGGACAAGAGTAGGAGGCTCATCCCTCAGTCATGTCTCAGGCTCCAGGGCTCAGCTTGCAGACCCAGGGCCATAAGCTCCACACTCAGGATCCAGGCAACCTGTACTGACCTCAGGGCAGGCTGGCAGCTTCACTTGCATCCAGAGAGGACATTCTATAGGGGAGGATGTGTCAGCAATTGCTGAAGCAGCTGAGGAGTCAGAGAAGCTAAGGGGTCAGGGTCAGGTAGAGTCGGGGGACAGCTGGGGGAGCCAGGGGCAGCCGGGGGAGCCAGGGACA